CCGCCGCGCTGTCCTCGGGCGCGCCGCGCCGGCTCCTTGTGGCCTTTTGCCCTCCTCGGGGGCTCCCGGCGCGGCGGTGTGTGGCCGAGCGGTCGGCCGCGGCCGAGGCCCCGCCGTGGGACTGCGCGCTGGCCGCCGAGACCCTCTCCTGGTAATCACTCTGGGGTTCCGGGGCCGCCCCGAGGGGAGTCGGCGGGGAGGTGGGCGGCGGGACTCGGGCGGGAGGGCGCCTTCTCCCCCTTTAAAATGGCGTTAAGGAGAGCAGGGATCCGCCGGGAGGGGGAGGGTGTGTCATTCATCGGAATAATAAAATCCATGCGCCGCCGCCCGGGTCGGGGAGCTGGCGCTCTGGTCGCAGCTGGGGCCAGGACTCGTGCCCTGAGCCGACCGGGCGGGTGCCCACCACGGGTGACACAGGGCCAGCTCCTGCCCCGCGGGGAAGGTGACGCGGCAGCGTGCTCAGGGGTGGCGTCCAGGAAGCCCAGGGGTTCTGAGAGCGCCCCGGGGCCAGTACATCCCGCGAGGGAGGTCAGGGAAGGTCCCTAGGAGAGGTGATGCCTGCCGCAGACCTGAGGTGGGTGCTGGCCTGGGGCAAGGTGCGGATGGGAGGGGGTGCAAAGACCACCGCCCCTCCTCCCGCATGGCCTCTGCTGCTGTGGAACCCACTTGGAAGACTACAGTGGTTCTTGCATCTCCGGGACTCACACTGTCCTGACCCAGGACGTAACTGATGAGACTGACGCTGGCCTCCACGGAGGTTTGCTTGGCAAAAGGGAGTAAGCAGGCCTGACTTAGAAGCCTGGAGGGCCCACAGAAAAAGCAACTAGGCTCACAAACTCCGGGGCACTTGAAGAAGCTTGCTCATCATTTGACAGGACCCTCCCCCACACACACTTCTCCCCAAAAAAGAGGTTTTATTATCCTTGAATGTAGACGGTGGAACTCAGGCTAGAAAGGGTCAGCATCTTGACCCGGACAGTGTTCAGAGTCCGTACTTTCCGCCATGCATCTGTTCTGGCCCAGGGTGCTAGGGTCTGATGGTTCTGGGCACTCATGCGTTGCTAATTTAGCGTTCTCTGCAGACATCTTGGTGGCTTGAAGTGTTAAGGTAGTGGCTCTGTGTACTGCTAACAACTGACATGTGCAAAGCTTAGCAGTGGACAAAACACTTTCATAGAGACGGTGCTTAGAATTTCTTCTGCTGCTTTTTCCAGAAAAGAAACTTGAGCTGTTAACATTTTTGTAAACCTCCTAATGTCCTGTAAATTGCCTGTCCCAGCTGACCAGGGCTGAAAAAGGCATAGTTTTCACCCTTGGGTCTGTTTACACTGCCAGGTGGCCAGGTAACATCTCTTGTCAGTGGTTTATGGTGTAGTTGGCCTTTCTCTGCCAGGGTGGGAGGCTTTGATGCCCGGGTAATTTCAGGGTTGCCGGCCTCTTTGAGGAAGGAATGGGGAGCAAGCCCAGTGCTGTGGTGGAAACTGAAGCCCTCAGAGGTGACCTTGACTTTTCCTTACAGTGGAGAGGGGTGGTCAGCACCCAGTGGGGAGGCAGGTGATTATTTTCCAAGGTTTTCAGCTTTGCCCCTGCATAAAGCAGTTTCTGTTTTCTACTTGTATGCTTTAAGCAACATAAGACACTTTTGTGACAGGTGTAACTTTTACTATTAGCTCTACCCATGCATATCTCACACTTTGATAGAATGTGATAAGTCCATTACCCCTGGGGTTGGTTCCTGAGCTCCAGGGCTGTCCTGCATTGAGTTCCTGGGATGACTTGTGAGAATCACATGTTGACCAGCCTTCTAGATGTAGTGAGTTCTAGGAAAATGTAGCCTTTGTTGTATGTTTTACATCTGGTGTAATCATTGTGATCAGTTCTACCAATGAACTGCCCCAGCGTGTGCCTCCCAGACAGTGATTGAAAACATGCCTGGCCATGAGCTTTGTAGAGTTTGTTCAAGCCATGCTCATATGACTTTAGGTGAGAACAGGTTCTTGTCCAAAGCTGGAATGTTCTCAAGTGTCCAGAGGTGTGCATTGAGTCCCAGAAGCTCTGTATCTGCCGGGCCCAAGCAGGTATGAGCCAACTATGAGATACTTACTTGCACCTTTGTCTAGAGATCAGGAAAAGGAAAGACCTGGATGAGTTCCCTGTGGCCTGGGGCTTCTGACAAGAACTCATGGTCTAGGAACTAAGCTGAGAACTCAGTGTCAGAAGGACTAGGAGGCCCTGTCCTCACAGGCTGAGACAACGCCTCTGGGCCTGTGTTCCTGAGTTATTGGGGAGGCCTTGGGGTTCAAATAACAGAGGTCAGTACGGTAGGTTAAGCAGCACCCAAATCTCTGAAAGTTCCTCATGGCTCTTTTGGGGTCATTGTAAACTTCCATTGAATTCTTACATGGGACAAGTAACTAAGAAGGCCGAGGGCCTGGAGTTCAAAATTAAGGTTTTTATGTTCTGGACTTGGCCTTTTTAATGCATCAGTGAGAATTCCAGGAAAATTGTTTGATGTGCAGAGTTGGGCACCATAATTCAAGAAAACTTAGGGATCTCTGAAAATGAGCTCTGGATTTCAGCTGGCCACCCCTGTTCTAGAGTCATATTCTTCACTGGTGTTTGTTGAGGACTTGCTCAGTAGCTGTGTTATGCCAGCCAGGCTGGTGTGCCACTCCAGGGCAGCCTGAGACAATGAGGTAGGTGTCAGGAGTGCACAGAGTTGCCATTGCAGTCAGCTGATAGTTGGTTCTGTGGGGGCTATGACAAAGTAGACAGTGCTGCCAGCAGCTCACACTTCAGATTGTTGAGCTGATGTGTCAGGACTGAGCCATGTTCCTTGTCCCATCTCTTGTCTAGGCAGCACTTCTGCTGTGTGCGGTGGTGCTGTCTATTCTCAGAGACCCTGTCTCCTAGCCATCTGTGGTCTGGTTCCCACCTCTGAGCTTTTCTCTGGTCACTGTGATGCAAAGCAGATTTCTGTAGGGAACCTTCTCATGGTAACTGTGCAGAAATCATTGTTCTTTAATATTCCTGACAGCTTCAGTAGATAGGGCCCACTGATAGCCAGATGGTCAAATGACAGCATGGGTCATCATGAGTTGATGAGGTGACATTCTATGTCTGAGAAGGACATATTGTTCATCTAAAGTACCTGATTTCCATCCAGGATGTTCTGCTAGTGAGATTGGGAGCACACCAAGAATGGAGCTGGTATGCAGCATGTGGTGGTGGAACAGAAAAGGGCAAGGTGGAGTGTCAGGGTGTGGAGCTTCAGCCGTGGCCTTTCTGTGATTATCCATAGAGCTGGGGTGGGCCTGTGCTGTTTAGACCAGGCTCTGTCTGTGACTTTTTTGTTCTTCCCTCAGGGTTGTCATGGGAATTAGATGAAATATGCTGGGAGACCAGAAAGGACCATGAGAATGAAGAACATTATCATTACTCATGCAACCTCAAATAACAGATCTCTTCCCACTTAAATGTTCTGAGTCTCAGTTGACATCTTCTGTTTTAATATTTACATACTTGTTTATATGTATTGTTGAAAACAATACAGATATCATATCAAACCTGCTTTTTAAATGGGGGGGGCTGCCTATTAGCTCAGTTCTTTAAGTGCCTGCTTAAACAAAGCACTCACGCTCAAGATGCTGTGGTGGTTCGAACCCAGATACTCACGCCAAACCAGAAATGCCCTCAAGGCATCTTCTGGCTGCCTAAATAAATAAATAGGGTAATTTTGCCCAGATTAAGACCAAAGAAAATTTTCAAGTTAAAAGTGTGCTCCTGGGGCCAGCGAGATAGCTGAGGGGCCTGAGTTCAATCCCCAGTTCCGGAAAAAAAAAAAAAAAGTGTTCCCTCTTGAATATGGTAATTTTAAGATAAAGTCAAACTAATAACAGTATAGCAATATGGCCAGATGGGAGAGTGACTCTGACCAAAAGCTGGGAAACTTTAACAAGGGAGTTCATCCTGTAACAGCTCCTAGCAGTGGGCTGTAGCTTCAGCTGGACCCTTCCAGAGATGGGATGCTTAGTGCCCTCCATCCATCAGCACTTTCTGGGGTGTCTCATTCTTACAAAGTTATTTCCTTTCTCATAATTCATCCCATACCAGCCTTTGATAGTGTAATTTTCCCCAGCTGCCTCTCAAAAGGTATGGTTTAAAGATTGCCTCTCAGTGTGACCATCTTCCCATTTATCCATCCACCTATCCACCCACCCACCCATCCATCCATCCATCTATCCACCATCCACCCACCAACTCACCCATCTACCCACACACCGATCCATCCACCCACAAACCACCCATCTATCCACCCATCTACCCACCAATTCACCCATCTACCCACCCAGCCACCCAACCATTCACTCACCCACCTGTCCATCTATCTACTCCATCCATCTACTCATACATATTTCCTTCAACAAAGGAAAGATAGTATGGCTTGCCTTGTACTACATATACTTTACATTCATCCTTTCTGAGCTTCACAGTAATTTTGCA